GAGGTAGCCCAGCCCCCAAAGCTCTGGATTCAATCCCCAGTACTGACAAAAAACCTTGCCAGTCAGTAAGCAACAAAGTCAGGCCTGAACTCTGGCCTCTTAGCTACTAAATGCTGTGTTCTTAGACAACAAGAATGATGAAATGGACCGAAGCCCAAGGCCCGTGCTGCAGCAGAGTCCTCCAAACAGGGTGTGAGTAAAGGTGGCCAGCGAGACAACTTTGAAAGAAAAGGAGCATTGGCATTCAGGCTCTGTGGTTGGCGGGGAGAGAGGGTGTCTCCAGTCTCAAACTGTAGGGTATCACGTATCTTGGGCTTTCCCTGAGGTCTTTAGAAAGGCTTTAGGTGCTGCTGCTGTGCCGATAGTGGTAAAGGAAAAAGAGAAAGGAAGAGGAGGGAGAGGAGAATCCACTCCAATCTGTGAATTTCCTCATTTGTAGCAATAGTGTCTCCCTCCCGGGGTAGATGCTATTCTTTGAAAATGAAAAGCAATAGTAATGAAAAATATTAGTGAAAAACTGACACAGTCTCCTGGGGGGTCGGGGATCAAATGTTAGCATGGTGGTGAAGTTCTGTGAAGGCAGAGGTCCTCCCCTCCTAACATCTCTAATCTCTGGGCTTTTCACCACCTGGTCCAACCAATGCCCACAGCACATAGCTGCCAATAAATGTTCCATGGATCTGTGGATGGGTGAAAGGAAGGAAGGAAGGAAGGAAGGAAGGAAGGAAGGAAGGAAGGAAGGAAGGAAGGACAGATGAGCCAAAAGCAAACGTGCTGTCTTTTAGTTACAAAAACTGACTGCCCCTGGAGACTAGATCTCCTATGCCTCTCTGTCAGGAAACGGTACCCGCCATCTATCAGGCTGAGACAAAACTTTGGGCATTACTTGCACTACTCTCTCTAACGCCTCACAATTAATCAACCCCATCAAGTCTACCTCCTAAATTTTAGCTTTTGAATCTTCTCCAATACTACCTTCACTCCCCAGTTTTTCTCCTGGATTCCTTCACCATGTCCAAACTGTTCTCCAGGGCCCCAGTCTGTCAAACCCCTTCCAATCCACTCTCCATACCTGGACAGAATAATCTTTTAAAAACACAAATCTGATCAGCTCACTACTGCCACCACCATCACCCTCCTTTCCACTGAAGCATGGTGTGTGGCTCCCTCTAGATTTTAAGATAACCCCAAACACCTAAGCCTAGCATCCCTGTCTTCACAATCTTGCTCGAATCTGCCTCTCCAGCCACACCTGGCCAAGCCACACCTTGAACCCTGTGTCGCCTGCAGCAACTCTGTGCTCTCTGTCTCTGGCCCATCGCTTGGTGTTGTGATGTAGCTGTGTTTTGTCAGTACTGATACTCATGTTGAGGCGCAGTCCCCAGTGTAATGATACTGAGAGGTGCCAGGGCCTTCAGAGCGTTTGGATCATAAGGAATCCACCCCCAGGAAAGGAAGAATGTAGCTTGCTAGAGGAATTAGCTACTGTGAGAGCAGGTTGTTATAAGGCTAATTCTGCTTCCTCAATTTGCTCTTCCTTTCTCTCTCAAACACATGATCCTTCCCCACACACCTATTCCCTCTTTTGCTTCTCCACCATAATAAGGTGTTGTATGAGGCCCTTGCCAAAACTGGCCAGCAGCCTGCTCCTCGGCCTCCAGAACTGTGAGCTAAATAAATCTCTTTTCTTTACAAATTACCCAGCCTTGGATATTTTATTATAGCAACAGAAAACAGACTAAGACACCGAGGTTTCTTCCTCTTCCTGGATTGCTCTTCCCCTCCTTTCTCTGTCTCTCTTACACATCCCTCTGATCTCAACTCTGGCATCCCTGCCCTAGGATGCTTACTCTGACTGCTCCTGACCTCACTAAGAATTTGGCCTCTCTTCCTGTGTACCCGGTGCTTAGTGCTTGCTTCCCACAAGGCGAACGGCGTCTTTGTCCTTTCCAGGTGCCTGGCTCACTGAAAGCTGTGTTTTGACCTTTGTTGAACTTATCACATGCCTTCTAGCCCTTGGTGGAGTAAATGTTTATTGCATCAATAAATATTTTGTCTCACTTTCAGACATACATTTTCTTAGAAGCATATTCACAATCACAATACATCTTTGGCCAACTGGGTGACCAGCCAAGATAATTAAATAAGATTAAGATGTAGTCTGTGTCTCTGGAAAAATCAATTAATAGGTAGGGAACATATTTTTTAGCCCAAAGTCAGGATACATGATCTTAAAAATATGATTATATATTTTCTTGCCCAGAAAAATATGAATATATAATGTATGTATATACAATAAGATCTGTCATTTTTGTTTTACTGTGTTATCCAAATATGCCAACTCCAAACACTGAAATAATAACCGCAATTAGTGAGTAGTTAACATTCTGTGAGCATCAAGAATCATGTGAAGGGCCAGGGATTTAGCACAGTGGTTCTGCTGCCTGCCTCACAAGCGCAAGGTCCTGAGTTCGATCCCCGGTACAAAAAAAAAAAAAGAATCATGTGAGGGAGGGCTGGGGATTTAGCTCAGTGGTGCCGCACCTGCTTTGCACGCCCAAGGTCCTGAGATTGATCCCTGGTACCAAAAACAAACAAAAAAGAATTATGTGAAGGGGGTTTCTATCATTGCATTTCATTTTTTCAATATCCTTTGGACCAGATCTTTCTATTATCTCCATTTTACAGATAAAGGGACTGAGCTTTTAGAAAGATTAAACTTCCCAGAGATTACAGCAGCAATGGAGGAGGACTCTACTTGGTCCTCCCACAGGTTCTGTGATACTGACCTAACCATGACCTCTTAACCTCGACAGATCACCAGAAGAGTCACTTGTGGGCAAAAATAGCTGTGGCTTCTGGAAGTTTTTATTAAAACTCTAAATCTCTTGGCAGTAACTTTCAAAAGTCATGATTCAGACTAGCAGTGGTCCTTGAAAACAAAATCATGATGCGAATCTCCTGGCTACAGAGATGCTCTTGCTGCCAGAAGGGAATGCTTGGCCTTGCTGTGTGCGGAGACCTGTGTTCTTCCCGTCACTTGGCCTCATGCCATCACTGACTGTTGGGCACTGACAGTCATTCTGTCCCCTGAGGAATTATCTCCTTCAGGTTTAACTAGTCCTGTCTGTGTCCGTGGATTTCACTGCACTGGGATCCATCGCCCTGTCCACTGACCATAAGCGTAATGAACAGCTGAACAGTCATATAAATGTACATATTCCTGGGACCCATCCCACAACTATCACATAGGAGCCCTGAAAGCAGCGTTTTGATCACATTCCTCAGGTAATTCTAATGAATATTAACATTCAGAACTACAAGTAGAGCCTTCAGCTAGATCCTCCCAACCAGCAGCATCAGCAGCTTGTTAGAAAACGAAGCACTGGGGGATCCAACCCTGACTTACTAATCAGAGTTGCAATTTAACAAGATCGTCAAATGATTTATATAGGCACATTTCCGCAAAAAGAACCAATAACCTAGAATGAGTCCCAATTATTTTAACCTCAAGATATGGATATGAAATGGAAAACTATTCAGCGTACTGGGCATCGGAGCTCGGCCTGCCCGAATCCCACTTCCACCCAAAGGCTGAAGAGAACAATGTCAGGCACACCTGCTCTGTGGCACAGGCATTGAGAAGCAGTGTACTTAACGTACCCCCAGTTCTAGCTGTTTTCATGAGGCATAATCCTCACACTTACTCTGCTTTCCTTCATCATTTGTTATTTACTTTCATATACACTAAGAGTGAGAAAGGCTCCTTCCCAACCAACTAATCTTAGAATTTTTCATACGGTGGAAAGACTCTGTCTCACCTTCAAGTTCTAGGTAAACTGTTGGAGAAACGCAGAAAAAATGTCAGTCATTCTGATGAGTCACCTGCTGTGGCCTAAGGAAAATCAAGAAGGAATAAGAGCTTTCCCCCCTCTGAAGAATGTTCCTTTCCCCGCCTGGTTCGCAAATCTGAGGACAGAGGATTAGCAATATTCAAGGTGGCTTCCTCTCTTCTGAGTGCCAAGAAGAATGTGCTTTTGTTTAATCCTCCCTTTGTGAAATCTGTCAGCCTGTAGACTGAACAGGTGTCCCTTTTCTGAGCCAGCCCCTGATAATGGGGTGACGGTTGTGTGGGGAGAAATGGAAATGGTCACACTTCCTGGTGTGACCATCTGACAAAAACCACCAAGTGTCAGGCGCTCCATCTGACTTTGCAAAGCCCCTAGCTACATGGGAACCTCATTGATTGATTTTTTTTTTTCCTCTCCTAAAAAAATGTTGAAAATATGTTAAGCTCAAAATGGCGAGCTCCTCCTTTGAATTAAATATGATACGGTCTACTACTAAATGAAGGACTGTCATGACCTGAGCAAATACAATTGGGGGGAGAGGATTCGTGACTATTGCCACCAAATAATCCATCTTTATTTCCTCTGTTTCCAACTTGCCTACAAATTTGTATTTGTTCTCTTACCTCCCCCTGGGTAAAGCATAGATGAACAGCACATCTTTGGGGCTGGTGTGGGGCTGGCCCTCTTCTGTCCTAGTAGTGCACATCCCTTAAGCTCAGAAGGCTCCGCTTTGTACTCCAACCACACCCTTTAGCGAGGGCTCTGCCTACCGTCCCTCTGTGTTAGTGGTAGACAGTGTCAGAGCATGCTGTCATGTGCCGCCTCTGATTGGATTTCCATGGAACTCTTTCCTTGATGCAGCTCCAGAAGCAAGCGGGCCCTTTTCCTGCCCTGACCAGGCAGCTTAAAAAGCAGTTAGCGGTTCATCCAGAGTTGCCATCGTGTCTAAAACAATGAACAGATTTCCTCTAAGTTCCTAGCAACAGGTATTGGTATCAATTTCTACTCCTTGATCATCTGATTAACAAATGCTGAAAATGTAAGATTAGGGAACGCTGTGGGCTTGGACCCTCTGTGCCAAATAACAGCTATTTTACATGACCACTTCCAGTACAGAACACTGAGCCATCTCTCTGCTTCATGGTCCAGGATGAAGAACAAGCTGTGGTACTTTGAATTTGGCACCTCAGAGACCTTTGCAGCCACCTGCAAGAAACTCCACGACCATATAGAGTTGGAGGTAAGCTCCCACGTGGGGAGACTTAAGCCTTGTTTTTGCTCCTGGAATGTCACACACAGCCTCAGGACATAGCCTCTTGGGTCCTTAAAGGTGAGCCAGAGTGGAGTATTTGTAGCATCTCCATTCTGTCTCCAAACACTTCCAAACATCACTCAGGGCTCCACATCCCCTGGCTGGCCCACTTAATCACAGGTAGCCAGGGTCAGCTTCATGGCTGTGCAACTGTGCAGTCGCGAATCTCTATGCTCAGGAGGTCCTGTGTCACCATCTTGAAATCCTTAATGATTTTTTTCAGCAGAGAGTGTTGTATTTTCATTTTTAACCAGGCCCTACAAGTTATGCAGCCAATCCTGTTGGTGTACTTGTGTTCTCCCAACTGGCGCTTGTAGCAGCCTGCCCCAGACAGTTTGGCTTGTGGGCACCCCTTTGCTGCTTGATAAGCTGCCTGAAGGGCTGCTCTCCCGAAATCTTCTCATTGGCTGCCCTGGGCATGCCTCCTCGGACTCTGGCCCCCTGACAGCCCAGTCTCCCCTCTGCGGGTCCTTGGGCCTGTTGGTTCTCAGCTCCTAACCCCGCTTCCCTCAGGTTTCAGGCCTCTAGTCTGGTTTCCACTTGAGCAAAACAGGTAAGAGAGGCACCTAGAGCATTCCACCAGGATGGGCTTCTCCTGGCCCTGGCTTGGCCTTGAAGCTACCCTGAGCAGCCCAGTGGGGCCTGGGCATCCCTTTGAGAGGCTTGGTGGGCCTGCAGCACTGTGGAAAAGCCCACCCTCCCTTCCAGAAGGGAGGCTGTGGGCACACGCTACTCTCAGGGAGTTTTCACAAACCACACATAAAGCCAGGGGTTCTGTGCTCCATTTGACTCATCTGCCCACCTCTCCCCTTTGGTTGCTTGGTTACTGACACCAGGGTGGGAAGCACAGCTCCTTGAGCTCGGCCAAAGGGCGCAGACCCAGAGTCAGGCTTGTGTCCCCAAGTCTCAGCCGGCTAAGGCCACTTACACCTGGGAGACGCTGAGGAGCCAGCCCACCTCTATGTACTTGTGGAACACGCTGCCTGGGAGCTGCTGCTGAAGGTGGGGCTTGGCTGAGGACTGAGCGTGGCTGACGGATCCGTGAGCATTCTTCCTGTTGGCATAATTGTCTGGTGGGGTCTCTTTAAATACACCACAAATGAGGGACAGCCCTGGCCTAACCACGGCCAGCTGCAGCACACAGCGACTGTTTGTTCTCCCTGCAGCTGGCCTTGACATTGTGCCCAGAATACAGCAGCTCAGCTCCCCTGACTCTGTGGCCCGCCCTCCTGGCTCCACACTGGCCCCTCTGGGTCCAAGGAACAGCAGCCCTTCCTTAGCCAGAGAGGGCTGGTGGCCTAGTGGCAAAAGATACTGGTGGCCTCTGGAGGGGTGAGGTTATTAATGCCGTGGGTTGTTGGGCATTTTCAGAAGCATTTCCTGTTTTCTGTATCTCCCCATAATGAGTCTTTTTAGTATTTATTCATGAGGGTTAGCTGGGAGAGGGAGTCACAGGACAGAGGCTCTGACAGCCCACAGGATTGGGGCAGGCACCTTCCACATCCAGAGAACAGTGAGTGGACAGTCCTGTGATCCAGAGGCAGCTGTGAGAGATCCAGGGGACAAGGCATGTAAGTGACAGGCATGAGGAGACTGCAAAGCACAGCAGGTAGATGGGACAGCTCGGGACGCAGAGCAGGGAAGGGAAGCTACCAAGTGTCCCTCTGAGTGTGGCTGCTGCACGCACGGCCCTGACCTGAGCAGCACAAGGTCACCCCATCCAGCTATTTCCACTGTTTGCAAAGCCCTGCCACAGCCTTTATCCCAAGTCCTACAATGACCCTGTGGACTAAGAAGGCCAGGGATTATTATCCCTACTTGATGGAAAAACAAGCCGAGGAACAGAGGGTTGGAATGGTATACAGAGAGAGAAAAGTAAAAGGGGACAGAAAAAGTCACATACTGAAACTGCCTAGCGTAACACTCCGCATTTGTCATGACAACCCAGGGGGACAAGTACTATCATTTTTTTAAATGAGGCTCAGCTACATTCAATAACCTGACCAAAACTTCATTGCTGGCAACTGGGAAGAAAAGATTGTGGGTCTTCTGAAGGGAATTTAGCTTGGAGCCCAGTAAGCAGAGATTTACTTAATAAGTGTGAAAACCCAGTAAATCCTGCAGCCTTCTTCGTCGTGTGTGGGGCTGTCTGATTCCCCTAGCTCGGGCAGCTGTGCAGCTCTGCTGAGAAATGATTTGCAACGATTCCATGTCCTACTGCTCATCTGAGGAAAGCGTGAAGAGGTTTTGGTGGACAGGAGGACAGTCAGAGAGGAGACCGGCCCTAAAGTTTATAGATTTTTTCCACCCAGCATCCCATTTCATTTTGACCCATGGAGCACACAACCTGACAGGATATTCCTGTCATTGCTTTATGAGTGAGGAAACAGGCTGAGGAGTTTAGCAACTCCGAACTCAGGGAACAGAAAGTAAAATCTGCTTTTTTATTCTGTCCATGTATCTACCTACTGATTTTTGGTCACTGTAGCAAAACACGTAAAGCCCAAGTGAGATTTTCAGGGAAGGTCTCCATTAAAGGCCATTCATGGGCTTACAGGTGCTTTCTCAGACAAATGGCTAGTTGGGAAGGAATAGGAGACTTTGTCCCATCTATGTAATAAACCTCATAGCCCAGCTGGCAAGAGTGCTCTGCAGAACACACAGAGGCCAGTTAATACAGTCCTCACTGAGCCAACGCTGCAGGAACTAGTTCCAAAGAGTCACAAAGAGTCACTAGTCATTTGGGGGCTCAATGACCCAGGCAGGGGAGAAAGTGACTCCAAATATACTGCTCACCTGCAGGCACTTGGCCGGGGCTGGCAAATTGCAGGGGCCCCCACTGAGACTCACAGGCCTTGTTCTGCATTTAGTTAATGCTAAACTTGCTGAACTGTACGTCTGAGCCTCAGTATTCTCATTTATAAAATGGAGGTGAACGGGTTGGTCCATCTCCCGATGCCATTATTCAGATGAAGGTTTTGACAGCTTTGGGGGTTTTATTTTTTGTTTTGTTTTGTTTTGTTGGACCAGCTATTGTGCTAAGTGTCTCACAGAATCTGCAAACCATGCCTAAGTGGCAGGTACCCTAATGACCATTCCAGAGCAGGGAAACAGAGACTAAGAGGAGGTAACAAGTGCACAGGAAGTCCAAAAACCCATTGCTCAGGAATTTGGAAACTTGAGGGGCAGTAGAGACCCTCGAGAAGCTCATTCTGGAGCAGAGATTCTTAACCAGCCCTGGGGCAGAGCCAGTCTGTTGCTAATTCACAGTCTTTCATTCATTTTGACCTTTCAGATAACATTAAAAGCAGGCGTAAGAGTTTTGAGCAGAACAGATAGAGTGCAAACACTCACCGAAGATTCTTCCCCTGTGGGAACACTCAGGAAGCCCGTGGACACAAGGGCTGCACCAGGAACCAGGGTGCTCAATACTTTGTTACTGGCTCTAATTAAGAAACGATGTGTCGGTCCGGGGATTTAACTCAGTGGTTCCGCTGCCTGCTGCGCAAGCGCAAGGACCAGAGTTCGATCCCCAGTACCAAAAAAAAAAAAAGAAGTGACATGTCAGTTATGGAGGTACACACCCCTAATCCCAGCTACCCAGGAGGCAGAGGCAAGAGGATTGTCAATTTGAGGCCAACCTGGGCGACTTAGCAAGAACCTGTCTTAAAATTTAAAAAATAGAATAAAAAGATCTGGGGATGTTGCTCAGTGGTGGAGTTCTTGCCTTGCGTGAACAGAGCCCCAGTTCAGTCCTCAATATGGAAAAAAAAAAAAGCCATGTCATGGCACCTCCACACTCACCAACTATCTGTCACCAGGTCTAAGATGAGTCCCTAGGGTACTCTTTGATGCCTTTTTGCTTCCAAAGGGGCCTTTTATATTTCTTCTAACCTGGTTTCACCTGAATAAACAGGTGGGGTAGGGGACAGAGGCTCACAGTGAGTCACACACACATCCCCCCAAGTCCAGAATAGCCTTGCAAAGGTTTCAGGCCTGAGCACAGTGAGGTGGAGCATGCCGGGCAAGGCTTCAACTGGAGCCCTCAGTTTCCCTTCTGTGGAAATAATTCATTTTACTGGCTCCAGTAAGAATTCCTCAAATTCCTTGACATTTAATCCTTAAAACAGCTAGCCAGCTCCACTACTATGAACCTTGGCATGGGGAAAAAAGTAAATCCAAATCTAGAAGGTGCTCGAAAAAAAGAATTATCCAAGTAGGTATGGTGGTGCACACCTGTAATCCCAACACCAGAGAGGCTGAGTTGGGAAGATCAGGAGTTCAAGGCCAGGCTGGGATACATAGCAAGACCTTGTCTCAAAACAAAATCCAGTATACTTTGGAGATCCCTGCACAGCAGTTACTGCTCTTTCGTGCTCTGGGAATGTCCTGCTCACTGTTGTTCAAGGGAGCAGAGAAGGAACTCTCACACACTGCTGGGGGGAATGTACATGGTAAACTACTTGGGGGGATTGGGCAGCACAACAAGCTGAAAATGCATTTACAGACTCTCAGACCCAGCAGGTGTCTCTCCACATAGACCTGCGGAACTTCTGCATCTGAGCCTCAGGTGAGCATGGAGGTGCTGTCTGGCATGTTTGTAATACAACAAACTGGAACCAAGCCAAATGGCTGTCATTCTCACACCTTAAAAAGACAGTGTGTGGGCTGGGGGTTTAGCTCAGTGGTTTCACCGCCTGCTGCGCAAGTGCATGGACCCAAGTTCGATCCCTGGTACCAAAAAAAAAAGAAAAAAAAGACAGTGTGTGCATGTACTAAATGCCACTGGACTGTACACTTTAAAATGGTTAATTTTATGTTATATGAGTTTTTACCTCCACAAGAAATGTTTTTAATTAAAAAAAGTGGGGAGTGTCCTGGGCACCATGCTAGCAATATTTAATGCATATCATGATCTGGATTTCACC